CTTAAGAATATCAGAAAAATGTATTACAATTTTGCAAAACAGGAAGCGTTGCAATGAGTGATCAAAATAAAATTTATATTTAGAAGTAGTTATTGGCAACCATCAACGGTTTTTTACACCTTGAACTCTATTATCACGTGTTTAGTTTATCCGACAAGCAACGGAAGTAAAGACTGGAAAGACGTGCTGTACTAAGCGAGTAGTGAGCAGCTTACTACTTGAAAGTGCTAAAAATACCAAACTCTACCCACAGAATATGACACTACATTGTTGATTACATGTTTAGAGTCAGCCGCCGACAAGCGAACTCTCGTTTTGCTAATGATTTACACAAAATATGTACAGTAGTCAAAAGTATGTTTAAAAGCGTGTGACATTCACCAACTATTCGTCATTTATTTGTCTAGGCGGTCCGTAGGACCTTTGCCCATTAGTCACTGTCTGATGTACGTTAGTCGAATCTGTCAGTCCTGGTTGCCCAGAAACCAGACAAAGTCAAGAAAAAAGAGAAAGGGAAAGAGAAGAAAAAAGGAGAAGAGCAAAGAAAAACAGATATGCTTAGTTTAAGAGGAAACACCTAGGCTTTTTGACTTGGTACACGGATTAATTTTGAGGTGAACTAAACAAATTTTTGATTCGGTTTTGTTAGAGTGTAATTTTGAGTTTACTAAAGATTCACGCTAACTTTTGATTACAGTGCGAGCCGTGGCCTTGAATGTTTACGAACTTGCTCCACTGTGTAGTCCACTGAGTCACGCAACAGAGGGTTGCTGTGCGATTCCGCTTGACTATAACGTCGCTGCGCCTGAAGCTTGACATAGTCCCTCAAGTAAGGAATGTCTCTGTGTAGTGTCTCATTTGAGACATACCATGGAGCGTTGCAAATTGTCCGCAAAGTTCTGCTTTGCAGTACTTGAAGACTTTGCATGTGTGTCTTGGCAAGAAAACACCAAGCCGCACATGCATAAGTAATGGCTGGTCTAATAATCATTTTATATAGTCGAACTTTGTTTATCAAACTCAATTTGGAGGATCTACATAACAAAGGATATAGTTGCCGAAACGCAATTTGGAATTTTGTTTTTATGGATACTGTATGTTTCTGCCAGGTCATGCCTTTATCAAGGGTGACACCGAGATACTTGGCAGAATTTGTCCATGGTACACGATTTCCGTCTACAGAAACCTCTGCTGGCGGGCCGCGACGTTTTTTGGTACAATAAATAGCCTGCGTTTTCGAATGATTAATTTTTATCAGCCACCGTTCCGCTCACTCTAGAACTTCGTCCACCGCATTCTGCAACCCATCGTGAACCAGATCACCAGTACACGACTGGGCAACAAGTGCAGTGTCGTCAGCATAGAGGTAGACTTCACAGTTGCTGGGGGAAGGGACATCATGGATGAAAAGCGAATAAAGAATTGGTCCTAGGACCGAACCCTGAGGAACACCGGCCCGTACTGGCCGTGTTGTTGACAAAACATTGTTCATTTTGATCCAAAACTTCCTTCCTACAAGAAAGGATTTCAGTAATTTTAGAAGCCAAAAAGGAAAACCCTTTTGGATTAGTTTATAGAGGAGGCCCGCGTGCCACACCTTGTCAAAGGCTTTTGAGACATCCAAAAGCAAGATGCCAGTACTCATGCTAAGGGTGAACCCTCTGGTTACATGCTCCACCAGCCTGACTGCCTGTAGCTCGGTGCTATGCTCGGACCGAAAACCGAATTGGACGTCAGGAATCACTTGGTGATTTGACGAAAAATTCTCAAGGTGACGATAAATCACCTTTTCGGCGAGCTTAGAAGGAGCTGACAGCAGACTTATGGGACGGTAATCCTGAGGAAATATCGAACGCACCTTCTTTGGAATCATGATGACCTCAGCAGTCTTCCACCCAGCAGGGAAGTACTGGATTTTGAGCGTCGCATTGATTATTGTCACCAAGTATGTCAGGGCTTTCGGCGAGAGCAGCTTCAACGCCTTGTTGGTGATTTGATCCTCCCCAGGTGCTTTACGCACCTTGAGGTCTTTAATATGACTTAGTAACTCCGCTGGTGTGCAATGTGGAAACTCGGAGGGTTCCGCTAATGTGCTATGTGGAGCCTCAGACGAATCTTCTGAAGAAGAGCCATCTGAAGAGGATTCAGTGCCTCCGCTGACGCCGTTGGCCCTAAAATATCTCCTGACGGATCGTACGATGTGCTGTTCCTCGTCGAGGTCATTTTCGAGATCATAGTTGGGAGAGAACTGTTTTTCCATGGCATCAGCGAAAACCTCGACCTTATCCTCCGTTCTGAAGACTATGCCTTCAGGACCGTGGATGTGTGGGAGTTGTTCTCGCTTTCCGTTTCTGAGTGACTTTGCGACCCTCCAGAGAGGAATACTTGAATCAAGCATTCCCGCCAGAAAGTCGCTCCATTGCTCGTTGCGGAGTTCGTGCAGTGCGTTTCTCACTTCATGGACAAGATTTGTAGCCCTACGAATGTCATCAGGATGAGTGTGACATTCACATGAACTGTTACGCGTCACTACTGTACACTTTTATAAATTATACGAGTAGTTGAAAAGTATAATTAAAAAATATTTTCCAAAAAAAACCTTACCTCTGATTTGAAAAATAGATGGCAACGCCGGACCGAAAATAAAATTACCAACTGTAAATTAGGATTTTTTTCTTAAGCAGGGTACAGAACATATTTATAATAGACACATGGTTATTAATTCCTTAGCCACAAAAATCGAGTCGTACGGTTCTTTTTCTGTTCCCTGCCTTCTTTTCATTCTAGAACAACTACATTTTCTTTTTTCAGCTTTTCCCATTACTCTTTCCAAACTTCAAAATGCATTTCAAAAGAACTGTGATTTAGGCAACTGAGAGGGTACCGCTTTGCAGGACTGTAACCGCAAGCTTGAAAGAAATTTCAATCAAACATCGAAATACGCCAATTTCGTGGGAAAACGAAGCTAGGAAGAATAATGAAAATTGCAAAACTTTTCCCGCTATCAAAACACATACTTATGGACAAACAAGTATGTGACGCGAAGTGAGCGTGCCAACCATTGCGGCGTGGTAGTTACCTAAGGTACTATTTAAACTTGACAATAATGAAGTTTGAAAAAATGACGACGCCGACGAGACCAGGCCCTGCAACATAAACACTACGAGTTGTACAAATCAAAAAATTCAGGGTAGCTGGGTTTGCAGGATTTCATGTTGCATTTTCTCTAACGGGTACAAGATTAGCCGCAATGTCTCCAAACTTTTCATGACATGAATGGTGACATTTCAGCAAGATGTTTTAACGTCTTAATTTTCTCAGTAATATCGGCTAGCCAAAGATCAAATCTCGGTGACATCAGAAGTGTCGAGGAGGGCCATCCGACAGACGGGAGAAAAACACAGAGGGATTATGATTGATGATTGCTATGTTAAATGCAGTGACGGATCAATCTTTGATGTGCCAAGGTGACTTCTCGTTCAAACAAATTGCGATTAGTACTTGTAAGATAACTATTTTTAAACCTCTGGGGAACTAAACACTTTTTGGCTTTTATAATGAGACAGGCTGATAATTTTTGAGAACCACAAACCAAACGTGCATCCAAAGGGTTCAGGTATGATGATTATAAAAGAAGAGCTCAGCATAAATATACATATTATCATACGTTTCCGTGATAAACAAATTTAAAGGTGGCAAAATGGATTTTTTGGTATTTGAGGTTATGAATCTGAATCTCTCAAACATGACCGGTAACTCTTAAAATAAAATGCTCAAATCAATGTGACGACTCGAGAAGACGTTAAAAATTGTGTTTATTTCCTTTTTCCTGGCTACTTTTATTTCCCTAAATTCCAGGTTACGTGGCCATCCCCCCATCATTCTATATCATAATTGTTACTTTTATAAAATAACTATCATTGTATTTCTGAATTACAGAAAATTGATTCAAGAAATTTGTAAACGAATAATTGTACAAAACTGACATGGTAGCAGTAATGCTAAAGAAATATTGTTGTATTATATTGTATCCTGGGTGATGTCAGTCCTGCCTGTCAATAGCGCTAAATATCATTTGAATGTATCCTTGAAAGCAGTTTGAACAAAAATTATGCTCATATACAGGTTGGGTTATTTCAACACTGAATAGCTGATTATAAATAATGCAAAGAGAGCTTCACTTTTGGAAAAAAAGCAAATGCAAAAAATGTCTCACAAGCTTTATAAATGAGAACTTGCTATATACTAATTATTCATCCTATATATGCATGCTCATACCGTTTCTGCCTTGCTCAAGTCAAGTTTCAAAATTTCCTAAACTCTATAAATTCAGGCTGTTCGCCAGAAGCAAAATGCATAGTGGGGTGAACCAAATCGATCGCTGCGCATGCATGCGGTGGACAAAAAAGGAAACATCAACAGCTTGTTACTGTTTCTATCCTCAAATCGTCTAAATGTCTGTTGATATCAGTTTATGTTTATATTTATATTGCACGTGTCAAGCAAAATATGTCTGTCCGACATTCTTAGGTGGCGCTGTCAACTTACATCCAGCGAATATTAATGAGTAATATTATGCACTTATTACTAGTCTTGTTTGCCTTTTGAATCATCCCCTGTGCTAAACATGTATTTTTCACAGAAATAGTATTTTCTTATGTGCCTGCATTGTATTTTTTGAAATTATCTGACACTTATACAATCGGATATTTCAGCTTGAAAGTTGTCACTCGTATCTGTCAAAAGCCTCAAATGCTATTTCAAGCTATTGTATATGTTTAGTTTTCTTCATAAGTTCTGAAATAACAAAAAAGAAATGTAATTGGCGCCTTTAAATTTTCTCGGAAACTCAAAGAGCTGGACAGTTATGAGCGCGAATTGCAATTACCGTGCCAATACACTTCGGATGCACTAGGTATGGCCTCTGGTCCAAGTTTTTTTTAAAACTGTGTCGACCTGTTTCATTGATAAGTCATATCCTCAATTCAACTGGATACTACCTCAACTTGCAGACCGTCACTGCTCTCGTACGACTCCGTGTAGATGGAGCTTAAATCCCCTTCATCCTCTTCGTCTGTTCCATTCGCTTTGCAATCTGTAGACTCTGTACCAACCCCAGCTTGAGACGATTCCGATGTGGGGCGTGCCACAGACACTACGACGAAAGCGCTTCTAGCTGGACTAGACGCTGCGGTCTGTGTCGGAGGATCGATCCTCGCCGGCTGCAGGGCTTTGGCAAAGATACGCGCGGCCGCCTTACTCTGGGCGGCGCTCCACACGTCCATGAGTTGTTGGCGGTAAAGATGGGCACCGATTTTTCAACGAATGGGCATTTTGTTAAGCATTAAGCAAATTCTTTTACTAACCATTTTCAAGTGCTTGTTTCTGCACCAGTATCGATCAACTGCCGATTTTAAGTTGAGATCGATTTTTCTGAATTATTATTATTATATTTTTTCTAGTTTGGTAAATACCAAAAATAAATGACATTTTTTAATAATAATGCATATCTTCAATGCATTTAGTTTTCAAAAATTAATTATAAACTTCTTTTTGATAACGGCCGTCAAGTTGACTTGTACTTCCCACGTTACGCAGTCATTTCGTAAAGGATTATGTTTGACACATTTAACTCTTCTGAGATAAAAGTTAGCTACGCACATGTATAACAAAAAATTAAATGACCTTCCCCCCTCGCTGAGAGGAATTGCTGCAAGCGCACATGATCGTTACAAGTACCAATCTCGCGTGAATGAGGATATTGGCCTTCACCATGCACAGTGCACACTGGCCCACAGCAGTGCGGAAGCGATTACAGACTGTGACGTACGAACACCGACGAAGGCGATTGTCCATCGGGGGAGTACATCGCAGGTATCGACGCCTGACAGTCGGAGACATTTCCAAGTTTTAAGAGCAAATGTACGGGGACATCTATGATGAGTGTAATATGCCTAATTTGTGCGTATAGCTACTGTGGTTGGAGGCTTATAAATATACCAATGTCAAAAAATTGATATATATACCCTCCCTTACCCCCTGCCACCCCTACCCACCATTTTAACCCCTACAAAAATATTTCCGAAAATGATCAGGTTCGTCTATATTTAAGTGATTTGTATATTTCGTTTTTGGCCTTTTTCTCTGCCGCCACTGGAGCAATTTTCAAAACTCAAAAGCTTTTGCATATTAGTAACACTGCATAAAAATTTAATCGAAATCCGAGCTGTACTTCTCAAATTGTAGGCGATTAGACGATTAGCGGATAGACAAAGGCATACAGAACATCCAAAAAACATAAAAACATACGAGGCACGTCCAGAAAGTAAGTGTACTGGTATTCTCACAGCTGTAGAGAATACTTTTTCGACATGTTGGCAACACTGCCGCGTAGCCTGACCCCTCCCCTTCAAAGAGACCAATCTGAGGTTAGTATGTTGAAAACTCTTGACGCAGTAACATCTCTCGCGAAAAATGTCGATCGTATCTCCCGCCAAGTGCGAAATTCGCGCCGTCATTCGCTACCTCGTTGTGTGAAGGGAAAAGCTCCGGTGAGACGCTAAAAAAATTGAAAAGGGCGATTCAGAATAAAAGGAGGGCCATGCTGACGAAGGGAGTCTGCCTGTTGCACGACAATGCCAGAACCCCACACGGCCAACGCCACGAAGCAACTCCTGGACTCTTTTGGATGGGACGTTCTGAATCACCCCCCGTATTCCCCTGACCTGGCTCCTTCAGATTTCCATCTCTTCACTTCCCTAAAGGGGCACATGGGTGGAAACAAGTTTTCAACGGACGAGGAGGTGAAGGGGGAGGTGGAGAAGTGGGCTAAAGAGCTGGCGGGAGACTTCTTCGAGGCCGGCATCAAAAAATTGATCCCGCGGCTCACCACTTGCATCGAGAGGGATGGTGACTATGTCGAAAAATAACTTACATATGTACAAGTGTAACCAAGTATATTATGGTTTTAATAAATTTTTTTTGAACCCTACATAAATTGAGTACACTTACTTTCTGGACGTGCCTCGTAGTATCTCATTTTCGGAAATTTTCTGGATTTCAATACTTCTCCACAACAGAGGAGCAAAAGAAAAAACATATCACCCAATAAATATACACAACTCTACAGAAAGCAAATGCTTATGCGTGGAATGTTCACTGAAATTTGTATAGTATCATAAGACCTAACAGACTAAAACGTTTTTGTACATAAGGTTTCCTCTTGATTCACTCTCACAATACATATTTTTAGAAACTGTTTCTGGTATTGATTGTAATATCTTAATTTAAGAGTACGCTATTAAAAGGCATTGAATGACTTTGTTATTGCTCGGATTCAAATGTTTACTGCCGAATTATTGTTGAAAATTCAATGCAATATTGATGTTCGTCCAAACTTACAACAGAACAATATATGATGCATTTGACCTCTTCTATCGCAACATTGGTTTCTCCGAAAATGATGTATGGCATGAAATCTCTATGTAAATAATGCTATATTTATTCTGATGAAATAAATTCAGTTGTATCGTTAGAAGTTCTATGTATGAGGAAAATAATTAAGCTGACAAGCCTTACATTTTTTCTTAAATCATATTATCAGCTGAAAAATGACGATGTTAAGAAATGAACTAGGACAGGCGCAAATATGTAGTAGATACATCGAAGGCACTTATCATAGTTAAAGGATATTTTCTGTTGACCATATCGCTTTTGTTTGAAGGTTTAGCAAAAATACATGTAAACTCTATTTTTGAACAGGAGTCACATAATACACGTCGCGTCACGGTACCCGACGATATTCAAAGCTGCGCACGTTTTTTACTGAAATCCACGCACCGTCGCGACACGGAGAAAAGAGGCTCGAAATGTGGCATCATCGCAACGACGCCGACGTCGAGTAACACCGGCCATTCGCCAATTCGTCGACGCTACTGTGAATTTAACAAGCGCAAAATCAGAAATAAGATTCGGCATGAGAGTAACGTTGCAAGTATTTTTCAGCATTTAGCATTGTTATGAGAGTGCCAAGAAATTTTGATTTCGTAGGTCACTCTCTACCTCCGTCACGCAGGCTTGTATAAACAATGTGAGCTCGATTCATAACTTCGCGCTTGCAGGAAACATCTAATAAAGTTATTTACAGATATTGTAGATACTCATTGCTGGGATAATATGGAGGTAAAAAGTAAGTTTTGTAATATTTCATTTTCATTTACAGGGTGCCTCGAAATTGAAGGATATCGTGCAACTGTAGGTAGGTCACGTCGTGGCCTACTAGATGGTAAAATTTTGATCTAATAAGAGTCTTATAGTTTTAGAGATTTGCAGCATTCATTTTTTTTAAATAGGAGGGTGAGTTTTCGTAGATATCAGAAAATAATTTATGGTTAAGTTGAAAGATAATTTACATTTAAGATATTTATGTAATGAGCACCATTGAGTGTTATGCATGACCTAAATTTTTGCTCAAAACATTTTTTTAACCTACATCGCTAGCATGCTCGAAGCTGGTTTACTCAAACTGAAGTCGGTTCAGCTTGGTATACAAATTATCTAAAACAACCCCGATAAAAATGTAGTGGATTTAGGTCCAACAATCTTGGTCGCAATGAAGTAAGCTGCGTAGCCTGATCCACCTTCATGAAATGTTCAATTTTTGTAATTGAAGTGGTCTCGATCTGACCGAGTGAATGAATGCTTAGAACTAGACATAAAATAATAGAAATACTGTAATTCATTACAAGCATGCCACAATTCACTCATCATACACAGCAGTATTTAGCTGCTTTCAACTAAGTGCTCAGTTAATATGATATAGAAAATTGACAACGACGTAGCTAATTATAAAATACTAAAAAGCACAGAAACAACAAAAAATCCGAGGTAATATAACAAACAATTGTTATAGACTTGTATGAAAATAGTAGGGCGTAAATGTTAATGTGTATTTGGGAGAGTATCAACTATCGGATCAGGTAAATTTGAATTGTATATACAACTAAATATCAAATAATTATCTTACCGTGTGTTTTTGGCTGGATGTCAACAGGGTTTGCTGTTATCAAGAACTTGATTAAATAACTTCGTAAAAGTTGTGACGGTATACATAGTCCAGTTTTTCAAAATGTGACATGGGCTAGAACACTTATTGAATACTTAACTTACTTCTTCCAAATCCAAAGTTTATATATACAATGCTAATGCATATATAGTAAAAAACACCATCAATCAATGTTTTTCAAACTAATTTTTAAAAACGATTCAAAAACTGTTTATAGCGCTACAGATGATGAAGAGTCAGAAAGATGCTAAAGTAAATTAGTTAATAAATGTGTATGTTATCTTAACTAATCAGTTAACATCGTAAACGCCACCTATGGAGGAATGGCGCAACGAACGTTTTGCCGATGTTCGCCATAAAGGGTTCGCGTTTCTCATGGTTTATCACAGGTTTTGGTTTGCACGCTCGTAGGATACTACATATATGGAGTATACTTTAGGAAGCGTATGTGACAAAGAGAATATGACACGAGTATAACGATTGTAATTAGCTGTTTGTCTGCGTACTACTTGTACTGTACTATTTGATCATTGAATCGAATGTGTCTAAGTATGCTGCCTATAAGCCGGAAAAGGTTTGATATATCAAATTAGTTAACACACACTGATAACTAGTAAGCAGTATAAATTTGCAGAGAACGCAATTCAACATAGAAGGAAGCGTTATCTTGTCAGTTACTTAATAAAGGAGTATTTCAACAAATTCAGGAACTATTATATTTTTTAGTAAGTGTTACTATCTTGTAGCAGCTTCGTAAAACGCTTCATATACATATGTAGCAAGCTATAATATTTGTGTTTTCGTCGAACCAATTAGAAAGACATTTTAAGATACCCATTACCCAACTAGCCTATAATACAAAGTACAATAAAAAGAGCACTAAAAAAATTCGCCTTTGTTTTTTTGAATGTTACATTCGTACTTCACATGTAGTACAGTGGTCAAATTGTTTTACAAAAGTTGTACGTATTAGAAACATCGCAATAAAATAATCACGCCAAATAGTGTGAAATCTGAAGAAATAAAATGTTCCGCTTTCTGGCGAACATAATTTAGGCAAAAAAGCGTATACCATGATAACCACAGATCAGAACACTAAAAAAGAGAAGAATTAGTATTTTGGGAGGAAAGTAAATATTTTGTAAGAAAATATGAACAGTTTGTAAGCTTTTCTGTTATAGGAGTAAGTGAAAATGCGCCATCGTTATGTCGGTGGCAACTGAACCTTGGAGAGGGAAGGAGGGGGAGGGGGTGATTAACCCAACATATTTAGAAAAATAAGCATTTCAGGAAGAAAGTGAGTAAAAATAAATAACCAAAGAAATGATGAATAGAAAAAGAAAACACTGAGTCCAAGGACACCCCGACGTACACTGAACGACTAGAAGTCCTCTGTACTGAAGCATATGCCTTTAAATGGTGTTTATGGGATTTTACAATTAATGGTGTATCCATGCAAATTATCTTAGGCGTGCTTTGGATGTAAGTTAAGTCAGATCCAATAAGTTTGCAGAAATCGTGCAAAACATAATTCAAATCTTCGAGTATACACATTGTTGGTTCTGCCTTACGTACATTAAACATCTGCATGAATTCATCATTAATCATTCTACAAAGCTTTTGGTTTTAGAAAACAGTGTTTTCAAATAAATGTTCATGCAAGACCATATTCTGAACAACCTATAGCTATGATTTTTCTTCAACTATCGAAATTTTAAACGCCATCAACATGCCGTCCAGCAAACTCTGTTTTGCACCAAACCAACCGCAAATTTCCTAATAACGAGCAACCCTTAACCTTTCTATCCGCACTCACCTGATCTGGGGAATATGCCCTCTGGTGCTTCTTCTTGGCCGGTGGCGGGGCGACAACGGGTGTTGGTATTCCGATGACTGCCGCCCCGGCGCCGCTAGCTGCCCCGTCGTGGTGGTGATGGTGACCTCCCCCGCCTCGGTGCTTCTTGCTGGTCGGTGATCTGCGGTGGCTGCGCTTGTAACGGCGTTCTGCTGATGAGCCGCGCTCGTACTGTCTGCTACGGTGCGCCCTCTGGCTGCTAAAAAGCGTAATAAGAGGATTATAAATCCGTGCGTTCAGGAAACACAGTGGTTTCCAACTATTATAAGGGCAGGCAATTATGTATTATTCGCGAATCTTTTATATGGGCACAGATTAAACAGTTTTGGTTTCGTAAATTATAATAGTACATCACATGCCCAGTTTGAGAAATACGCGCTTCGCGCCTCAGGTTATAGAAGTGCTCGTCCAATAGTGGACTTCTCAAACGAGGTATTTATAGAATTTTTTCATAGCTAACCGTATATACTCGTATGACAAAAAAAATTCGATTCCACGTCATGATCATGACATTTCCAGTTCATTTTATGATCACCTTAAAATATCTAATTACTAGGTAGCTAATCGTTCAACCAACAAACCCAAATTAATGAACGCAACAGAGAGTCGACTTGATTTGAGCTCCATCGAAGGGGTGTAAGGTAGAAATGTTTTATTTTTGTTAACATTAAAAGATATTCTCAAACAAGTCGATTATGGGGGTGTACTCATTTTTTTTCTCAATCGTTTTTAGATGTTTTTTGTTTTTATTATTTACCTAGGGAGAGAAATGCTACTTCTCCATACGGTATTGCGGTCAATAATGGTGATTATTCGGGTTAGTGGTGAAAATAAATAATTTCAGAATATTAACCGCTTAGTATATTTAGAAATTTCAAATTGAATTTTGGGACATTCTTTCACTGATCACAGCTTTTTTAATACATTGGAAGTTTGCTTTCAGTAATGATAAAGCGGTTTTAAATTACACAACTTCTTGTGATTCATATTGTAGGTGGAAGAACGCTTAATAGTCATTTTAAGGACTATCAATCACTATCAATTCCCATTAGGTTAGTTTGTAGCATCTACAATCTAGATATACAAGATTTTGTTCAATACATAGGGATTATTGAATGGAGTGTACTAAATTATTGTGAAGATGAATAAACATCGAGATAGTTGAAATAATCTAATACTATATACTCATAATTATGGTTTTATTTTGAAAAAGCACATTCAAATTGGTACAATTCTTACCTATGATATTAATAATAATAAAAAAAATACTCTAGGATAATGGTCGGTGCTCTACTTGTCCCGTCATTCGGATTTATGGAATAAATTATGCCAATTTTTTTTAAAACCTAAACCTCAAATGCCACAAACAAATACCAATACAAGTTATTATTGGAATAGATCAGAATAAGATGATTCAAAAATTAAAAAAAAAATGGAGTTCAGTAGATTGACGCCATTATCAGTTCAGTACCAGCTACACTCTCTGAGAAAAAAGTCAATCAAACAGGCCCAAACAATTAGTCGTTAGATATTATTTCCCTGCCCTACCGGTGGTGCATCTAGAAAAGGCGTGGGAAATAAAAATGGGAAAACATGTCTGGTATGGTTGTGTTTTAAAACACCAAACAAAAAGTAAAATACAAATGCTTGCTTAAAGGTAGGTGTTCAAATTTACAAAACATATATTTAGAAAGCAGTAGTAGCAGTCACTTTCATCATAAATAGATTATCTAAGCTGGTTTAAATAGAAAATATACTCATGGATTTTATCGATATGATGGATTTTATCGATGTTTCCCAGTCTATTTGCAAGTGTTACAAGTTTTGGATGTTGCCATGACAACGGTGCTACGTTTCGTATACGAGTTTTATAACCGATTTCAAAAATACGGCACCATGGCAACTAACCTCACTTACTGTATTATTGCGGGATCTAAATATGTTTGCAGCTTTAGACCCTTTGTTTAGATGTGTTGATTGGTGTTTAGATGGGTAAGAATCAAACAATCACGCTTCAAAACTAAAAAATCAATTTGTGTCAAT